TCTTTCTTTCTTTCTTTCTTTCTTTCTTTCTTTCTTTCTTTCTTTCTTTCTTTTTTTCCATTTTGTTTTTGTTTTAGAGACAGGATTTTTCTGTGTTGCCCTGGCTGTCCCAGAACTTGCTGTATAGATCCAGCTGGCCTCAAACTCAGAGATCCACCTGCTTCTGCCTCCCTAGGTGCTTGGGTTAAAGGCATGTGCCATGACTGCCCAACTGTAGGCCACTTAAGCTTTTGGTCTACTATATTTGGTGACTGATAAGACGTGCTTAAATTTGATAATCTACGAAAATGATCCATAGAACTCCAAAAACCTATGTATTTATGTGATTAGAGTTTTGTTATGGAGGACACAGATTAGAAGTAGCCAAAAGAAAAGACAGGGCTCCGAGAGAGACCTGAATGTAGAACTTTGGCTCTGTATTTGGGGTATGCAGGGGCAGGGTGTATTTAGTCCATTTACGTTTTTTGGAAAGGGCTGTGCCACCCACCTGGCAGATCCCCAGCCAGAGGCTTCTGTGGAGATTTGTTACATAACCCCACTGATAATACAATTTCCAGCCTTGTCTTCACTGCCTCCCATCCCCCATTGGCCCTTTACCAGAGGTGAGGTCGGCTTAAAACCTTAACCTAATAGCATGGCTTTTCTGGTAAGCAGTCCTTGTTCTAAGGTATAATTTTAGCATAAACTTAAATGTTACTCAAGGGGCTCTTGAGTAACCGATAACATAGTCACTAGTAGAATTCTAAGGGTTTTATAAGCTGTAAAACAAGACCCTTGGCAGACATTGACTTCTTTATTATAAAATAACACTCAGGTATGATGATTAAAACCTTTAACCTCAGCACTTAGAGGGTGGCTTGGTCTACATAGTATGTTCCAGGCAGTCCAGGGCTGCGTAGTAGTGAGATCCTATCTCAAAACAGTCCATTAAAACAAAGAAAAAATAATAATAAAAAGAAAGTTAGAATTTGAAAGATGATTGTGATGGGCAGAAGATTGCTAAAGAGAATGTGCTGAGAAATTAATTTTCTTTCCATTGTCCAGGTTGTTTTGGAATTAATAGAGCTTCGTGAATTGGGTGCTGCCAGGTCACTTCTGAGACAGACCGACCCCATGATTATGTTAAAGCAAACCCAACCAGAACGTTATATTCATCTGGAAAACCTCTTAGCCAGATCTTACTTTGATCCTCGTGAGGTATGTTTGTGGTAATTAAATCCTTTTTAATTGTGAAAATTAAGTAATGTGGCCTTGCAAAAATAATGTTTAAACTTTTTTTTTTGTTTGTATATGTGTTTTGGGCAACCATACATGTGTGGAGGTCAGAGGACAACTTTCAGGAGTTGTTTCTTTTACCATAAGATTCAAACTCATTATCATGCTTGGTGGTAAACACCTTTTTTCACAGAGCCATCTCACTCATCAAGACAAGCACCATTTAATACATGCACATAAAGACATAGTTTCTTTTGCACATGACCTTCCACTGGAGAGCTGTTGAGATAAAAGAAAGAAGAATGTGATAGGAACTGGGTAATAGAAAGTTCAGATTTTTGATTCTTTGGCCCTGCAAGTATTTCTGAAACTAGAACCACACCTCTATCCTTGTGGCTAACCTGGGCTCTTCAGGAACAACAGTGCGGATGGACTGATACCAGCACTCTCACATTCTTCTAAAATGCAAGTGTGCAGAATTAGAAAGTTATTTTAAAATACTAATTTGGTTTAATTCCTCACCTGTTTAACTGGGTATTTTGTTTTTGTTGTTTCCCTCTTTGAATGTCTTGTTTCCTTTGATTTTAATTTTTTTTCTTCTTATGGTGTGTGTGTTCATATGTGTATGTACATACATGTGTGTACCTGTTTGAGGAGGCCAGAGGCATTCAATTCACCTTTGAAACTGGAGCTGTAAACAGCTTTGAGTTGACTGATGTGGGAATCCGCTTTTTTCTCTGGAAGAGTAGTACATGCTGTCAACTGATGTGCGATCACCAGCTTTGCTTTTCCTTGGAAGTGATACCACCTCCTTTTTTTTTCTAGGCATATCCAGATGGAAGTAGCAAAGAGAAAAGGAGAGCAGCGATTGCCCAGGCTTTAGCTGGGGAAGTCAGCGTGGTGCCACCTTCCCGTCTCATGGCCTTGCTGGGACAGGTAATTAAATGCCTGTAGAGATGAAATTACCCTGAATTCTGGTACTGGTTCCTGTGTATAAGGCATATTTCTGAGCCAAGGAAATTGCACAGGCTGGTAGTAGAACCTACCTATAAAGCTCAGCAGCTGCGCCATGCACCCTTCCTCTTCTGGAACAGCAAACCAGGCTTCCAGGATGGAAGCTTTAGCATCTTTAGAATTATGTTGGAACTGTGCTGAGGAGACTGGAATAATGCTCATGCTCCATAAAATCCATACTCGTCCCAACTTTCTGGTCTTGTCAAGCTGGGCCTGTAGCTTGGTTAGTAGGACAAACTGCTTGTTTCTTGTGCATGAGATCATAGATTTGTTCCCAACCAAAACCAATAGTGAGGCATACTTTTATTTTCTGACATGAAAAAAATGTATTTATGTTGTTCCTGTGAGTACATATGTGTGTGTGCGTGCACAAACAGCAGCACTTGGGAGATGGAGGCAACTTAGGGAGGAAAGGATTTGTTTCATTATACACTCTAGGAAAGCACTCTTACACTCAGGGTAAGAGCTCAAAGCAGGGATGTGGAGGCAGGAACTGCAGCAGGAACCAGGTAATATGCTGCTTCTTGTCATGCTTTCCCATGTCTTGCTCCTCTTGCTTTCTTATACCACCTGGGACCATCTGCCCAGGGGTGGTACTGCCCACAGTGTGCTGGGCCCTTCCATCATTATTAATCAAGAAAATGCCCTCAGCTCTGCCTACAGGCCAGTCTTTGCAGATGATTGGTTTGTGTGTCAAATTGGCCAAGACTACCTTCAGGAGTGCAAAGCACCCCTGTCTAGATGTGTTCAGGGTAACATTCATTAGATAAATTGACAGGTTGGAATCAGTGCAAATGTTCACTAAAACATATATTGATTAGGTAAACAGAAACTTCCAGCAAACAGTATATTTTACAGGCATTAAAATGATAGCTTTGCAGTTCGTAATACAGATGAGCTGGCATATTAAGGTATGTCATAATATGAGGTGAAGACAATATATTTAGTATATAGAATAATTATTAATAGAGCAATTAAAAAACGTATCATGTGAGAGGATAATGACTACAAGTAATTATGTAAAATGTTATTAGTGGCTGGCTTTGTGTATTGGAACTCTGGGAAATTTCTGCTTTTCACACCATCTTTCCTGTCAGAGTCTCCATGAGAAGGCCGTGCTCTTGCCGACACTGAACCATAGAAATGTGTGGATGATTAGAGATGGTGTGACCAGAAAGCTTACTAGTTTCCTCAGACCTTGTTCTTTCAAGCATGTTTTTGCCTGAGCAGTGATGCCTAGCTCTTCAAAGCTTCTAAGCAGATTAATTCTTTTCTTTTTCACAGGCATTGAAGTGGCAGCAGCACCAGGGATTGCTTCCTCCTGGGATGACTATAGATTTGTTCTTTCAAGCATGTTTTTGCCTGAGCAGTGATGCCTGGCTCTTCAAAGCTTCTAAGCAGATTAATTCTTTTCTTTTTCACAGGCATTGAAGTGGCAGCAGCACCAGGGATTGCTTCCTCCTGGGATGACTATAGATTTGTTTCGAGGCAAGGCAGCTGTCAAAGATGTGGAAGAAGAGAAGTTTCCAACACAGCTGAGCAGGCATATTAAGGTAGGGTCTGATACTTAGACATGCAGTAGTTGGTGATCGGTTGAGTACCCATCATGTACAGAGTCAGGCCCTGCCTCAGGAGCTGGGTTCTGATGGTCCTTGGGGTTCTCTTGGTGCCCATTTGGGGTACTGCAGTAGCCTAGCAGTGTTGCATGTGAGTTTTATACACAAGTACATACATATTTGACATCTGCCCATAATCCTATATTTAGAGAAATGGTCCGTTCTTTGGTTAAATCTTGGACTGTCTACCTACATGGGCTGTTAAACATTTACTCTTAGTCTGCTGCGTCTCAGGCGAAGGGCCAGTCAGGGTTGTAAAGTTGACTTGTGATGTTACGGGAAATAATTTTATCTAATGTCTTATTTAGTTACTGTGTGAGTTCATGCCAGGAATTAGGCTTAGAACCTCAACATACCACTGAGCTACATCCCCACACCTTGATTTTATTTGAATGTTTTTTTTGGGAGAAGGCACAATCAAGTAGTTCAGTTCCCAGAATTAGAGGTATGCTTGCTAACATTAGCATCTCTTTTATAGTATAGCTTCTCTGTAATTTTGTGCTTCTGTTGAATTCATGGATTCAAAAATGCTGCATATTATGGGGATAGGGAGATGGCTCAGTGGATAAAATGCTTGTGGTGCAAAGATGAGGGCCTGGGTTTGGATTCCCGGCACCATATGCATTTGAGTGTGACAGCCTGCATGTGGTAGCCCAGTGGTGGGGGCAGAGACTGCCAGATACTGTGGACTTGCTAGCCAGCCATTCTAGCAGAATGTGGGGAGCTCCAGGTTCAATGAGAGACTGTGTCCTGGAAAATAAGGTAGAGAGAGGCAGAAGATACCTGATACTGACCTCTAGCCTCCGCATGTGTGTGCATGGATGAGTGCACCTGCATGAAAATGTGCACACATGCATACGCTGTACTGCACATAAATGCACACACACAGATGCTGGATATTCTTTAACTCTTTGGCTTTTGTACTTCGCATTTGTCTTTTCTGCACTGTGTATTCTAATTTGCATATGGTATTTTTGAATAGTAACTTTATGTACCTTGGTGTCATTCTGTTGATGCCACTGGGCTAGAATCTTTCTGGCATGAACAAGTTGCAGTGCAACTTTCTGGCATGCAAAGTTTGCAGTGAAAATGTAACTAGACGTGATGGTGCATTCTAGTAGTTTCTACAGGCTGAGGCAGAAAGACTCAAGTTCAAGGCCTGCTTCAGCCCTAGACTCAGTTCAAGTCCAGTATGGGCAACTTACTGAAACCTGGTCTCAAAATAAAAAGATGGCTGGGGATATAGTTCAGGAGTAGAGTACCTGCCTCGTATGTATAGACCCTGGGTCTGCACCCCAGCACTAAAAAACAAAAGAAAAGAGAAATCCATGTTAGTCTTTTCTTGCCATCTGTCTACTGCCCTGTGGTTTCCCTGACATTGGAACATTGTCACTGCCAGTGCTTGAAGGCACTTACCAAGCAGTAGCTAGTCTAATAATTAGTCTTAGGCTTTTATTTTCCCTAAAGATTTATTTATTTTTTTAAATTTTATATGTATGGGTGTTTTGTGTGCATGTATGCCTGCTGCCCATAGAGGCCATAAGAGGGCACTGGCTCCTTTGGAATTGTGGTTACAGTTGATTGTGAGATGCCTTGTGGGTAGTGGAATTTGAATCCAGCTCCTGTGCAAGAGCAGCCAGTACTCTTAACTGCTAAGCCATTTCTCCAGCCCCTAGCCCTAATTTGGTGAACCACACAATAGCGTATGATTCAATAAAGGTTGTGAAGTAGTGATGGAAATCTTATTTACAATACTCTTATTGAAAGATGAATCCTCCATCCCTTCTGTCCAAATCCACAACAGAAACATAGAAAGCCATGTTAATTTGTGACTGAAAAGCCATTTTAATAGTTGATTCTGGCAGGAAGTTATTGTTTAAATCAACTGAAGTATTTGTTCTATACCTCATGAAAATAAGAGTATTTTTTTTCAAGTAGGTGTAGGTGATACATGCTTGTAATCCCAGCTCTTATGGAGTATTAAAGAACGAATGACGTCAAGTTTGAAGACAGTGTGGCCAGCTTAGGCAGCATAGTGAAATCATCTTTGAAAGAACAAAACAAAGTGGTCTCCCTTATTTTCTTGAAATAATTGCATTAAAACAACATTTAGATGTAAAACTGGTCAGAGAAAGCATCCACCAGGGTAGGTGTAGCAATACCCTCCAGTACTCCATAGTATGGGCACCTGTAATTATAAGCAAAGGGTAGGGTTTCGAAAATGGTTAATAAACTGGGGATTGTTTTAGGACTATTACATAAAAAATTGTCTTCATTATTTCCCCCGGAACAGTTTGGACAGAAATCCCACGTGGAGTGTGCGCGGTTCTCTCCAGATGGTCAGTATCTAGTCACTGGCTCTGTCGATGGATTTATTGAGGTGTGGAACTTCACTACTGGGAAAATCAGGAAGGTAAAAGTAGTTTAAATACATTCACTTTTTAAGGTAGAATTGCTAATTTTTCCTTAATTCTGTGTCTTATTTCTGAATTAGATGACTTGAAGATGGCCGTTTATGAAACAAACATGTATTTTATAATTTAAAAGCTTCTTTTAAGTTAAATTCTGAATTTTTATTAAGGGAAAACCTTTACTATCTATACTTTTCATTTATTTTTATAAAAATTTAAAAGTTTTTGTAAACTTTATTTTGAATGAATAACATGTCTATCTAGAGTTGAGAAAGTGTCCTGAGGTCTTTTTTGGTTTTCCGAGACAGGGTTTCTCTGTGTAGCCTGGGCTGTCCTGGAGCTCATTCTGTAGACCAGGCTGGCCTCGAACTCAGAAATCTGTCTGCCTCTGCCTCCCAAGTGCTGGGATTAAAGGTGTGTGCCACCACTGCCCGGCGTGTCCTGAGGTCTTAAAGTGTGAGACTCCTACTCCTGTTCTTGAGTTAGAGCTCTTCCTTGATTGGGCCATGCTTATCCATTTCTTGGCTTTCTAGCAATGTTCTGTGTGTGCTAGCAGTTACTCATGTGTCTTCTTAGTGATGATACACAGATGATGGCATACATGTTGTGTAGTGTATTTTGCCCCTTGCTCTCCTCTCTTTAGTGTTTTTGGAATAATTGCTGAATTATATCAGAGTGTATGAAATGATGCATGAGTCCCTTTAGATTGTTGCCAGTCTCATCTAATGTTAGCACTGATGTTATTTTTTTATTTTATTTATTTATTTATTTTTTGTTTTTTCGAGGCAGGGTTTCTCTGTGTAGTCCTGGCTGTCCTGGAACTCACTCTGTAGACCAGGCTGGCCTCGAACTCAGAAATCCGCCTGCCTCTGCCTCCCAAGTGCTGGGATTAAAGATGTGCGCTATGTTATTTTTTTATGAGTGAAATTTTTATGTAAATAGCCATCAAAATTTTCTGTTCTGTGAAGCCTGAGTACTACACACCCCATGCATGTATACATATGTGTGCTCATGTGAGACCAGAGGACAGCCTTGGGTGTTGTTGCTCAGGTGCTGCCCACCGTGTTTTCTAACGTAGGATGTCTTACTGGTGTGGAGCTCCTCAGGTAGGCTAGCCTGATGGGCGGCTAGACCAGACCTGTCTGCTTTCCTAGCTCAGGGATTGCAAATGTAGACCATGCCTTTTTTTTTAATCCACATGAATTTTGGGGATTGAATTTAGGTCTGCATGCTTGTAAGACAACTCCCTAGCTCCTTTGTCCGTTTCTTTTTTTTTTTTTTTTTCTTAAATGAGTTTGTAGGGACTCTTTCTATTTTAAGGAAATCAAGATACACACTGTAGGGGCTGGAGAAATGACTCAGGTTTGCTGTGTAAGTGTGAAAACTTGAGTTCAGGGCCCTAGAACCCATGTAACTATCGGGTGGTTGGTTTGGCAGCCCACCTGTAATTCCAGTGTTTGAGAGGAGACAAACTGGCTAACCACACCGCCCACATTGGGTAGCTCTGAGTTCAGTTGATCCACACTCCATTCAGTAAGGTGGAAAATGATAGAATCCTCGTCAGCCTCAGACCTCCATGTGTAGACATGCATGCCTGTGTAACCATGTGCACATGCAAACACATACTTCACATGAGGGAAAAAATTTACATTCTAAAAAAAATTTCAGGTTTGATTTTTATCTTTTGAAGTGGCTTGGGGTTTTGCATTAATGATTTTTTTTTTAAAATCAATTTTGTTTTTTCATTTTTAGCTTTTTTTTTTTTTTTTTTTTTGTCCTTTTCAACTTGGTAGCTAAGGAAGTCAGAAGAGGGCATTGGTCTCCTTGCTTGGGTGCTGGTGACCAAACTTGATCCTTGGGAGAGCAGTCACTCTTAACCACTGAGCCATCCTGCCTACCTCAGCCCTTTTTTTCCCTTTTGTGTTGTTTTGTTTTGTTGATTGTTTTAATGTAAAGTCTCTCGGCAGAGCAGGCTGATTTCTGCTTCTGTTTCCCTGACTGCTGGGATTATAGGTGTATGTCATCACAGTGGGCCATAAAAAGGGTGGTTTCATTTTTTTCTGTTGAGAATTTAACTCAAGACCTTTTACATGCTAGGCAAGTACTCTTTACTTCTGAGGTGCTTTTTTTTTTTTTTTTAAGATTTATTTATTTCATGTATATGAGTACATTGTTGTTGTCTTCAGACACACCAGAAGAGGGCACCAGATCCCCATTACAGATGGTTGTGAGCCACCATGTGGTTGCTGGAAATTGAACTCAGGACCTCTGGAAGAGCAGTCAGTGCTCTTAACCGCTGAGCCATCTCTCCAGCCCCTGAGGTGCATTCTTTTTTTTTTTTTTTTTTGGTTTTTCGAGACAGGGTTTCTCTGTGTAACCCTGGCTGTCCTGGAACTCACTCTGTAGACCAGGCTGGCCTCGAACTCAGAAATCCTCCTGCCTCTGCCTCCCAAGTGCTGGGATTAAAGGCGTGCGCCACCACCGCCCGGCTTTTTTTTTAAATTTTTTTTATTTTTTTTTATTTATTTATTTTTTTGAGGTGCATTCTTAATCCTGTAGTTTGTTTAGTTGTTGTTGTTGTTGGTTTTTTTTTTTTGAGACAGGGTTTCTCTATGTAGCCTCGGCTGTACTAGAACTTGATTTGTAGACCAGGGTGGCCTTGAAGTTGAGAGATCTGCCTTCCTCTGTTTCCTTGAGAGCTTGGGATTAAAGGAATGTGCCTCCACTGCCCAACTTTGCTTTAGTTTTTGATTCATCTGGGATTTGTATAGGAGGATAAAGTTGGTGTAGAGCCAGCTTATTTTTAATCCCCTTCGGAGTCCTATTTATTGATCTTTTATTCATTAATTTAAGTGTAACTTTTATTACTGAGTACTAAATTTCAATCCATAAATAGTGATTTTTAAAAAATTGCATTTATTCTTTCTTTATGGGAGCTTATGTCTATGGTACATGTATTGAAGTGGGTGGGCAACTTGTGGGAGTTGGTTCTCTACTGATACTGTGTGGGTCTCAGGAACCAAACTTTTAGTAATAGCTATCTGTGCTGGCTAGTCTTTAATATAACTTTACAGAAGACTGAGTCATCTGAGAGGAAGGAATCTTAACTGAGAAAAATCCATGTAATAGGGTTGTGGGCAAGCCTGCATGGCATTTCTTAATTAGTGACTGATATGGGAAGGTCTAGTCATTGTGAGTAGTGCCACCCCCCCTCCCCAACCTCTAAGCCCTCTCTACTCCCTACCTGTCCCCCCACCCCACCTGTGGTATTGGGTACTATAAAAAGTAGGCTGAGCAAGCTGTGGGGGGGAGGAAGCTAGTTAGCAGATTTGTCCAGGGCCTCTGCCTCAGCTCCTGCCCCCAGGCTCCTGCCCTGCTTGAGTTCCTGCCCCTCAGTGAAGGACAGCTACCTTGATGTATATGATGAACTAAGTCCTCTCCTCCCCAAGTTGCTTTTGGCCATGGTGTTTATCACAGCAGTAGAAACTAAACCTCTTTACCTACTGAGCCCAGCTTGCCAGCCGGGGTACAAATTTTATGGGCGATTTATGCTTTTTGTCTGTTTGGCTTGAAAAATACTAAATACTTTGTGAAGTTGATTCTCTCTTTCCACCTTTACATGAGTTCCAGAGATCAAACTCAGTGACCAGGCTTATGTGGCAAATATCTTTCTAGCTAAGTCATCTTTCTGGCCCTTTTGTTTAAACCACTAAACAATCTCATTTTATAATCAGAAGAAAAATTAAGTTTCACTTTCCATGTGTAATAAAAACATGCTCTAATCCCAGAACTTCCCTGCCGCAAAAATACAGAATAAGAACAAAGTAAAAATGAAGCAAACTTTGATTGCCATAGTGGTAGATGATAGATGAAACGTCAGGCATAGATCTATCAACGGATGATGTTAGGAACGGGGATTGACCATTTGAGACACATGTTTCTTTACTTTCTCATGTCATCCCCCTAAAGAAGCAAATTCAGATTCACTGAAGACAGAAAGTGTGAAAGTCGAGAGCCATTCTGCCTAGAGAGGTTCACTGAGTCACCTGAGGCTCCGGTGTGCACCACCATACCCATCTTGTGTTGGTATTTTCTACAGTGTCATCTGAATTGTGTAAAGTTATTTATCCCTAGTTCTATCAGTTGTTCATAAGGAAGCTGTACATGGCACAGCTTTTTGCTTAGATATTTGGGTAGACACAATCTAGCATCCTGCTTTTAGTCAATTTCAAGAGTTCTGGGTGGGGCCACTGGGACATTGATTTAACAACTGTTGATTTTCACTTACTTCAGGATCTTAAGTACCAAGCCCAGGATAACTTCATGATGATGGATGACGCTGTCCTCTGCATGTGCTTCAGCAGAGACACTGAAATGTTAGCAACTGGGGCCCAGGATGGAAAGATCAAGGTATGGATCAGTGCCAGGAGCGCTTGCATTTAGCACTTTCAAGTCTTTTGTTTTGTTTGTTTGGATATTTATTTTGGTTTATTGAGAACAGGTTTCTCTGTGTAGCCTTGGCTGTCCTGAACTCACTCTGTAGACCAGGCTGGCCTCGAACTCAGAAATCCGCCTGCCTCTGCCTCCCAAGTGCTAGGATTAAAGGTGTGTGCCATCACCGCCCGCCTGTTTTCCAGTTTGTTAATGGTGTGCTACACATGACATTCATTATCCAATAGCCCCTATGTATTAAGCATCAACTTGATGCTACTTTCTTTTTCTTGTTCAATTTTACTAATTCTGTCTGGGATGTTCTGTTAACATGTTAAAGTCATACAGTTGGTAAATTAGACATCTAGCACTTCAGTTCAAATCTGTACATGTCTGTTTTGGTTGTAGCTCATTGCCTGTAATGTGTTACATGCTGATATATATTTAAAGGAAATGCTGTTCAGCTAATCTAGCTGTGGGTTGGTTTTAGTTGCTGACTATGGACCTGGGGCGAGGTAAATACGGAAATGGTCACTGTTTAATGAACTTAGCTACTGTTTTTTTTTTAAAGTAGTGTTTGGGATTGAACTTAGGGCCTTGTTAGACAAACATTCTTACCCTGCGTTGTTTTTTTGTTTGTTTTAGAGGTTTATTTGTCTTAGTTTATTTTTAGGATTTATTTTATATGTATGAGTGCTTTGCCTGCATGTATATATGTGCACTGTGTGTGCCTGTTACCTGAGGAGGTCAAAAAAGGGCATCAGTCCCCCAGAACTGAACTTGCAGGCAGTTCTGAACTGCCACTTTGGTGTTGGGAATTGAACCTGGGTCCCCTACAAAAGCAGCAGGTGCTCTTAAGTACTGAGCCATCTCTCCCGTCTACCACTGAGGTGGTGTTTGTTGTTGTTTTGTTGTTGTTTAAATTCCTAGCCTTGAATCTTTAATAATTTATAAGAAAAGAGTTGTAAATTTCAGAAGATTCGTATCACTGCATTACTGTAGTAGACATGCCAAATTGAACTGTTGGCATGCAGCTTGATGCTGCCTTGGTTTATTAGCACTGTGTTGTGAACTGTATCTACTAACACTTTATTCTCATGGTTTTCTTTCTTAATAAAGGTTTGGAAGATCCAGAGTGGACAGTGTTTGAGAAGATTTGAAAGGGCACATAGTAAAGGTGTTACCTGTCTAAGCTTTTCCAAGGACAGCAGTCAGATCCTCAGTGCTTCTTTTGACCAGACAATAAGGTAAGAGGAATCCCTGAAATGTCCTCCGGGGATCTGATAAATAGATCAAGGCCTCACCCACCCACCCTGAGGGAGAAGTTCCTGGTGTGTCTTTACACTGTTTCCAGGATTCAGTGACACGGAAGGCAAGGGTATGTGAGGCTGATTGTCTCCAGTTCAGGAGGCACAGCACTGTTCTGTTTGAGTTTGTCTCCAGAAGAGATTTGAAAGGGTAAAATAACAGTGTTTCATGTTTCTCAGTGTGTGACCCATGAAGCTAGGTATGGAGGTGGAGGCTTGAATTCTCAGCGCTTGGAAGGTGGAGACAAATAGACCATGAATCTTAAGCCGGCTTGGACTCCCTAGTGAAACTCTGTCTTAAAAACAAAAGTGTGATCTGTGGAGCCATCGGTGTTATAATCACTTTACAGGACAGTTTTACAGATTGCTGGGACACAGCTGAGACTACTAATTACTTTTTTTGGGGGGAAGAGGGGGTTGAGACGGTTTCTTTATGCAGTCCTGGCTGTCTTGGAACTCACTCTGTAGACCAGGCTGGCCTCGAACTCAGAAATCCGCCTGCCTCTGCTTCCCAAGTGCTGGGATTAAAGGCGTGCGCCACCACCGCCTGGCCTGAGACCACTAATTACTAATCTCTTATTCACTAGTCTGCACAGAAGCCTAGGTTACTGACATTTCTCGAAGTCTTTTGCTGTGCAGGTTGTGTTGGTTTTGTTTGACATAATGAAGATTATACTGTGTATAGTTCTTCATTTAATATTGCAATGCTTTTATAATTCATCTTAAATCCATTCAACACTTTGCTTCCAGAAATAACATACTGGATATTATTCTTTTACTTTTATTTAATAGAATTCATGGCTTAAAATCTGGAAAAACACTGAAGGAATTTCGAGGCCATTCTTCCTTTGTTAATGAGGCAACGTTTACACAAGATGGACATTACATTATCAGTGCATCCTCTGATGGCACTGTGAAGGTGACGTATTATTATTCTCCACTCATTCTGGCCTGTCCGCCCTGGGTTGCTTTTTAGACAGTATTATTGGTCAGGATGGTGATGGTACAGCGTGTGAGTCTGGGAACAAAGTTCCTTATTGGTCTGTGTGGTGTCTGTTCCTATAACTTGTAACTCAGATAGCCCACTATGATGCTGCTTCATTCATAGACACATGCAGCAGTTCACTCTTCACATAGCTACAGGCCAGTGCTTACAGTCAAATTCAGAGAAGTCTCGGTGACCAAGTACATCTGTTCCTTGTGTTTCTCCCCAAGTTTAAGACTTTCCTTATATTTGAAGAGGAGTAGGGGAAAGAAAGCATAGAAATGTAGTGAAAGCTATCTGTAACCTTGGACCTTTTCACCCATGGCCAGGTTCATGAAGTAATGGCTCTGAGTATATTTATTCAATATATGGATAAATGCCTAGGCCAACAGGCTTGGCTCTGTTCCCTGACTAGCTCATAACTTAATTATCTATTTATTCTAAGTCATGTTATGTAGCTGGTTACCTGGTCCTCGGTTTCGTGCAATTGTCTTCTGTGTCTGGGGTGAATCTTCCATGTCTATTTCCCAAAATCCTGTGTCTCTGGTGGATGTCCTACCTTCTAATCATGCCTTATTGGCTTATAGACTTTTTTATTGACAGTTGAAGCTTCCATACATTGCAAGTCTCAGCTTACAATGGTCTGTATCTTCAGTTCCAGGGGATCAGGTGCCCTTCTGGCCGCCTCAGGGACCTGCCTATATATGGCCTATGTTTACACGAACACTTTATTTATTTATTTATTTTCTTACTTACTTACTTACTTACTTATTTTGGTGTATTGAGATAGCTTCACTGTGTAGGTCTGGCTGTCCTGGAAGAACAGGCTGGCTTTGAACTCTGCCCACCTCACCTCTGCCCTCCCCAACCCCCGAGCTAAGCTGCTAAACTACACTTTTTGACTTTAATGCCTTTTGAATATTTATGTGTTTATACATGTGGGTGTGTGCATGTCTCCTTTTGCACGTAGAGGCCAGAGGTCAATGCTAGGTGGTGGTTTTCAGTTCCTTCCCTATGTTATTCGGGTTTTGGGGGATGGGGTGCAGTATTTCAGGCATGTACCATCATACTCAGCTTCCAACTTACTGAGACAGGATCTCTCACTGAACTTGGAATTCAAAGATTCAGATGAAATGTCTAGCTGGAAAGCTCCAGGAATTGTCCTGTCTGCATCCCAGTTCTGGAATTACTGGCACCCAGCTTTTATGTGGGTGCTGGAAATAAAACGCAAGTCCTCATGTTTGCCTAGCAAGTACTTTACTGAGCCATGTCATCAGTTCCTGGCTAATTTTTTCCTCCCTTCTTTCCCAGGCTATCCTAGAATATACTTTCTCTCTCTCTCTCTCTCTCTCTCTCTCTCTCTCTCTCTCTCTCTCTTTTTTTTTGGTTTGGTTTTTTTGAGACAGGGTTTCTCTGTGTAGCCCTGGCTGTCCTGGAACGCACTCTGTAGACCAGGCTGGCCTTGAACTCAGAAATCCACCTGTCTCTGCCTCCCAAGTGCTGGGATTAAAGGCGTGCGCCACCACTGCCCAGCTATTTGTTAATTTTTAAGACTTAAAACTTTAGAGATTCTCATAGTCTAAATGTTTACCGCTTTACATTTTTTTGTGGTAGATCTGGAATATGAAGACCACAGAATGTTCAAATACCTTTAAATCCCTGGGGAGTACTGCAGGGACAGATATTACAGTCAATAGCGTAATTCTGCTTCCTAAAAACCCAGAGCATTTTGTTGTGTGCAACCGATCAAACACAGTGGTCATCATGAACATGCAAGGCCAGGTGAGTACTTAGAAAGTGCTTCTGTGCTGAACTTGGTTCTGGCTAGACTGTGACCAAACAAGGGTTCATTAGTTCTAAGCTGTTTTGTAACTGTGTGTATTTATAGACATGCATTCAGAAGTACATCCTTTTTCTAGTGTGTATATGATACCTTTTCATCCTTCATCTAATCTGCCCTTTGTTTTTTTGTTTGTTTGTTTGTTTGTTTGTTTTTTAGTTTTTTGAGACAGGGTTTCTCTGTATAGTCCTGGCTGTCCTGGAACTCACTCTGTAGACCAGGCTGGCCTCAAACTCAGAACTCTTCCTGCCTCTGCCTCCCCCCAAGTGCTGGGATTAAAGACATGCACCACCAACGCCCGGCCTGCCCTTTGTTTTTTGAGACAGAGTCTTGCTATGTAGCCTGATCTATTATCAAACTCAGTTGACTTCTTTGTCTCAGAGTTCTGAGTGTTGGGTTTATAGGTGGACACCACCAAACCCAGGTCTGGTCTGTCATTCAGCCTCCTATAGATAGCAGCACTCCCTTTTAGGGAGGTCCAGTGTGGTGTGGATTACTCTTTTGGGACATCTAACTACCACACAAGCTAACATGGGACACCGATGGGAAGAAAGCAGCAGTGTCTCACTGTAGCCTAGGGTGGCCTTGGACTCTGTCTGAGTCCCTTTTCTCAGCCCCCCAAGTGCTGGGACTGCAGGTGAGCACTACCAAGATGAGTTTAATGTTGTATATCCCAAAGCAAAGTCTTAGTTGGTCCATCCTGGGTGGAGTATGGGCATTGCATCTTTAGAGTGGACTGATGAACATAAGTCTAGGTAACACTGAAAACTAGAAGTATATTGATGTAGAAAATGGTTGTGAGATAATGAATTTGCTTCATGAGAACGTGGTCAGTATACCAGAGGACAGGGTTGCTGACTTGGGTGTAAAATTCAAAATTTTAGTCAGCTGTTTTTTTTAGGTAGCTTTTCTGTTGAATATTTTCAGGCAGGAAGATTTAACACATTCTGAATGGAACTTGTGATAGTAACCAAAGTGCAAAATAACTGTAAAAATGTCAGGCTTGACATTTTTGTCTGTTTTCTCAGTGTCTAATGCATGCCTGTTATTAGGAGGTTGGAGGCAGAAGGATCAGGAATTGAGAGTCAATTCAGAGTCAACTTTGGCTGCATAGGAAGCTTGCTTGAGCCCAGCCTGGCTTTGAGACCCTGTCTCAAAACAGAAAGTCCTTATTAAGTGCTAGGCCAGCAGCAGGGTAGTATAGCATGCTGCCTGCAGTTGACCTACTCTAAATCTTGTTCTGGTTTTGTTTGTGATGTCTTCCAGATTGTCAGAAGCTTCAGTTCTGGTAAAAGAGAGGGTGGTGACTTTGTTTGCTGTGCCCTCTCCCCTCGTGGCGAGTGGATCTACTGTGTTGGGGAGGACTTTGTGCTCTACTGTTTCAGCACAGTCACTGGCAAGCTGGAAAGAACTCTGACGGTGAGGCTGGGAATGTCTGTCCTCTTAACTCTGAAGTATAAGCCTGTATTGGAGGCATTTACCAATAAATAGTTGAATAATTGTGTTATATGTTAGAATTCAGGTGTATTGTAGTAGAATTCTGCCTTAGGGAAGAGGATGACTGTACAGAAAGCAGAAAAGGGACATACTGTCTAGCCAACTAGTCAGATCTTCTGGGGCAGAGGGGCTGGAGAGACAGAATGCTTTTACCAGTTCCTTTAGAAGGTAAATTCCTTGCATATTATCCTTCCAAATTAATTATTTGAGTACTTTAGAGTATTGTTTCAAATAAATTGAAGATATCAGGAGTAATTTCCTTCTTTCTTTCCTTTTTCCTTTCCTTCTCCTTCTTCCCCTCTTTCTTTTCCCTTTCTTTCCCCTTCCCCCTTTTTCTTTTCTTTTTTTTTTTTTTTGTTTTTTTTTTTGTTTTTTCGAGACAGGGTTTCTCTGTGGAGCCCTGGCTGTCCTGGAACTCACTCTGTAGACCAGGCTGGCCTCAAACTCAGAAATCCGCCTGCCTCTGCCTCCCAAGTGCTGGGATTAAAGGCGTGTGCCACCACTGCCCGGCTTCCTTTTCTGTTTTTCAAGACATGGTTTCTCTGTGTAGCCCTGGCTGGCCTTGAACTCAGATCTGTCAGTTTTTGCCTCCCTTCTGGGATTAAAGGCATGTACCACCACCCAGCTTATGAGGAGTAATTATTGCCAATTGCTATAATAAACAGTTCCCAAATTTTAGTGGTTTAACAAGATAAAAACTCTTTATGTCACAATGCAGTGTGAATTGGAGAGCTGTCTTTTAAGCAGTGCCTAGAGTTGGTGTCTCTTCTTCCTCCTCACCCCACTCTGGAAGCCTCTTGAGGGAGTTAAGACCTGTGAACCCTGACTGTGCTTTCAATGTTGTAGGTTCATGAGAAGGATGTGATTGGAATTGCACACCATCCACACCAGAACTTGATTGCCACCTACAGTGAAGATGGACTCCTGAAGCTCTGGAAACCCTAAGTCAGCCTTTCCAGTGCAGCCAAGAAGCATGTACTTAAGTGGAGGGCATGTTCATGTATTACTTTTACTTTTTCATGTCTGCATCCTAGCATAAAACTTGTAAATAAGGCAGTATGACATATTCAGTAGCTGCAGGTTCTTTTAAAAAAGATTTTAATAAACTTAAACCTTTCTTTACCATAAGTGCTCATAAAGCGGGAGGGAGAGTCATTGTCCTTGATCCTCAAGTCTGGTAGTGAGTGTAAAACAGACTAATATGAAAAGGGCTGGTGATACACACAAGTTTTAATTAGCATTTCTAATAAAGTTTTTCTTCTAGAAATATCAGTATTTCAAATCTTTTGGTAGAAGATTAATGAAAACATTAGTCACTATCCCAGTTAAAAGCAGATAAACTAATGATGCCTTTAAGATGCTTTAAATGGTAACTGTTTCTTAAACAGGAATTTTCATAAAATTATGTCTCAGTCAGACAATTTGCTTATGAAGGCAGACATGAAAAAGTTTTTGTTCTCATCACCCTTCTCATTCTGAGCTCTGCTTTTTATGTTCAGTCCTGCTCTTGTGTTCCAGTTTGAACAAGTTACAGGGTTTATGGGATTTGATGTTTGGGCACCGCTCTTTTCTATGTAGAGGATGATTTAATACTGAAAATGTACTGTTCTGAAAAAAAAACTAGAAAAGAAACTGAGATTTAAGTCTCTTATGTATATACTTTTCAGTGAACTGAAAACTGTTCTGTCAACAAAATTCTTGAAAATGGGTTCCACATTGATGTCCTTCACATTTTAAAAAAATTGTAAAGATTATTTTATGCATGTGAGTACACTGTCACTGTCTTCAGACACACCAGAAAAGGGCATTGGATCCCATTACAGATGGTTGTGATTGCTAGGATTTGAACTTGGAACCTTTGGAAGAGCAGTCAATGCTCTTAATCACTTAGCCTTCTCCTAGGCTTTTTATTGAGAAAGTCATTACCAAATTTTACATTGAGGGCTGGGGCTGTAGCTATCTCTCAATTGCATACATGCTTTGGTTTGATTGGCAGGTGGGAGGTGGAGACAGGAGGACTAAAATTTCAAGGTAGCTCTCTAGAAAGTTCAAGGCCAGCCTGGTCTACAAATAAGGATAGCCAGGCTATTAACAGAGTAACTGGTCTTGAAACACAAAAAGGAAAAAAGAGTTTAAGATTAATCTGGGCTGTATAGGGAGAGTACAGACTCTTAGGGGCAGCCCTAAGAGTCAGTGTGCCAAGCTAGGCATATTCCTGTAATAGCAGCACCTGCAAAATTGAGGCAGTTTTGAGACCAGCTAGGGCTGCATTTAAGATCTTGTCTCAAAACGACGACAATGTGGTATACCAGTAAGCTATATATGGGACAAACTAGTAGTGTTTTTAGTGGCTGGTATTATAAGTATGTACCACCATACTTGGGAAACAGTCTTAGAAGACCACCTTGTTCATCCTTCAGTGATATTTGGAAGGAACCTATAAGGCTGACTTTTTTTTTTTTTAAGATTTATTTTATTTATGAGTATATACAGATACACCAGAAGAGGGCATCAAATCTCATTATGGGTGGTTGTGAGCCACCATGTGGTTGCTGGGATTTGAACTCAGGACCTCTGGAAGAGCAGTCAGTGCTCTTAACCGCTGAGCCATCTCTCCAGCCTGAGACTGACTTTTCTTGAGCCCCACATAGCTAGCATTCTGAGCTGAGAGACCCTTCCTGAATAGCCCTCCTGGGCTAAGGCAGCATTGAAACTGATGCCAATCCCTGGCACCCACTCCCCATTGAGGGTATCAAGTAAGAGCCTCCTTATATGTGGACATAAAGGGTAGGACCTTGTACAGATTGGTAACATTTAGTGGTGCTAGTTTTTAATTTGGCAACCCCCCAAAGCCAAAGGTGTTAAGGGCCCTGTAGTAGGGACTAATGGAAGGTCAGTGTCTGGGACTTCCTTATAAAGTCAGGTTCAGGGGAGGTAATCTCTGTGTGGCCTACCAGACAATCCTGGTGTTAAAAGTGTCCTATCCCCTACTTCATTGACAATCATGTGTTTCAGGGTGTTTTCCAGAAACGCCAACGGTGTAATAAGTATTTTCTCTTCATTGCTAGTTTTTGAATCCTGCAGTTTTCTTCTAGGTTCAAAGCTGACCATATTAATGAATAGAAAGCAGCTAGATTCCAGTCTCTTGACTTACCTAGTAATTTGAGACATTTTCAGGTCTCACCCCAGACCTACACAAACTACTGAGACCCATTCAGCAAGCATATTTTCATATACAGCATTTTATATTGTCTTTTAAGTAAATTTTTTTACTCTTCCCAAAGGTCTCACCTTAAATGCTAAAGCTGTATAGCATGTTAGCATCTTATATCTGAAAAGTTTAACAGTATGTTGAAGGTGACATATGTTTTCCTGGTTTAAGTTTAAAACGTTGAACAGCAACCCAGAAGTGATGCATGCCTTTAATCCCAGCACATGGGAAGCAAATCTGAGGTCCAGGTAAGCCTAGGGGTACCTTGTCTTGACCCCCCCCCCCCCCAAAAAAAGAGCCACAACACACTACATTTAACCAGGGTTATGCTTTTACCAGCTCAGGCAACTGTCTGGCCTGACAGGTTTTTTAGTGCTAAAATCCGAGGTTTCTAAAATTGGAACACTATCACCAGAAATACTGCTTGATGGCAGACTGACCCAATACTAATCCCATGCCTTACCCTTCCCCCAGCCTCCTAAATGTTGGGACTACAGGCACTATAATACAGGTGATACAATTCTACCCCTGTTATTAGATCATCTTCATACTTAAGGCTACTACATAACAGCCCAGTTGAACCTAAATCCCAATAGGATGAGACCAGATCAGAGTTTCTCTAGGTAAAGGGCTGGACAGATGATTCAGAGCCCTGGCTACTTTTCTGAAGAGATGGGTTCAGTTCCCAGCACCAACATTGCAGCTTACAACTATAACTTGGTTCAAGGGTATCTGACACACACCAAAGCACATTAAAATAAAACCATTCCTAGGCAGTTCCATTCACAGCTTAAAATGAAAACCAGTAACTTACTGAAGGCTTGGGAACCCTTTTGTGTGCAAGTATAAGTTTTCTGTGTGCCTTATGCCTGAGTGGGTTTTTGATTCTCTGGCACTCACGTTAGAGACAGACCTGCTTGGAATGAAACTGAACCTGGGTTCTCTCAGTCAGTACTAACCATTGAACTCTCACCATGGTATTTGGCTAACTCAAATGTTCTCCCCATGAAGGAAACTTCAGTCTACTTTCAGATTAGAAATGCTTTTAAATTCCTGACTAGAAAAAGATGTGACAGACGACCACATATTCTCATCCAAGTTGGTTGCAGTTCCCTTTTCTGATTTGGGCCTATACCTTTACTCCTCACCCATATATATTAATAAGCATTTGCATATTTCAGGAACATAGAAATAACCAAAAAAAAAAAATCATAAAAGCCCATGATGCTTTGATGAACTAAGAACAAAAGGCCTGCAGTGACACACTGGAAACACTTTGTAATCAGTATATTAGACAGTCATACATTTCAGTAACTGCTTAAATTCTGATATCCAGATTTAAGCATGTAAGCATGTGACTTCAAAACATACAACAAATCTATTCATAATTTGCTATACTACCAACATTAAATTGCAGTTATGTTGGTGCCTAAGTCAAATAGAAAGCCTGTAAAACGAACACCTTTCCTGGATTACACATGCAAATCACCTCTCCACATACAGATCTCATCACTTTAATTTGTAAGTTACTTGGGCTTTGGAAGTCAGTCACTACACCCAAGCAAGGGCTTATCATGGTTTGAGAAGGGGAAAAAGGTGAGGTTTTCTGTTTATATATATATATAAAATTTAAAATGGCACAGCAGAAGGGTATGCAATCTAGAAGAGCAAGCCCTTACTTAAGCAGTAGCTTATGATAAACTTCTTTAGGAATTTATCATTTCTATCACTAATAATACAGGCGAAATGTATTATGCCACCTTCTAGTAATGGCTGAGGCAATACAATGCAAAGGCATCACAATTAGTTCACTTCATACAACTAGACAGACCGACATGTAACTAATTTTCTTTTGATTACCAGTTAAATACAGAATTTTAATCCCATAGCTTAACAATTAAGGGTCATACAACACATACCTAGCACGTCAGTCTAATGTACACAGCTATTATCAGTTACACAAGATATGGCCTAACAGATGCTAGGAACTTTTTAAACTAGTTTTTACAAGTATTCATTTTCATCTTGAACATTGAAGTCATCATACATACAGGGCAAAGTCAGAGCTTTTATATTTGTGTTTATTCTTCATTTAACTTTTAAAACACTACTATAGTTGAATATTAAAACAAAAACAATAGCCAAGTAGTGAGCATATTATGATTACAGTCCTTCCCACATTCACTACTGCATACAGAATGTCAAAGAATGACTGCCCCATTAAGAGGTCTGACACTGAACGCCACCTCTGGGGTGATGTTCATCATCCTCATACGCTTCTCCATTGTAATGACGCCGTCTTTCCTGATTTGGATCAAAGTCCACCAGTTCTACCTGATCCATTTCATCAGTCTCTTCTACTTCCTTCCTTTCAGGAAGGAGTTTTTCCAGCAAAGAGAGTTTATCAGGAGAGAGAAAGCCATTTTCAGGAAAGTTTACCTGTAAAAGAGAAATTAGAGATTTAAATTATTTAAATTATTTTATACTATTATTTTCCCCCAGAAAAGCACATAATTACCATTTCTTTACTTTGCAAATCTGTCTTAGAACCACCTGGACTCATTATGTAGCCAAAGATGGCTTTTTTCTATTTTGAGATAGGATTTTTCTGTGTACTTCTGTGTACTGGAACTTGCTCTGTAGACCTGGCTGGCCTCAAACTCAAGAGATCCAAGTACCTCTGCCTCACAAGCACTGGGATTAACGGTGTGGGCCACCACTGCCTAACCAAATTGATCCCCACCCCTCATTCTACCTTTCAAGTGCTAGATTATAGGCAAGCACCACACCCAGGCTAGGCGCTAACAGAAATTAACTGTCACAGTACCACTTGTAACCCACAGTAACCCACAGTTTTAAAAGAAAGCCATTTGGTGTTCCACTTTTAACTGGATAAAGGGAGATTTTAAATGCATTTGCTTGGTCTGTATTAGATTTTAATAAGCTAACCATTCTCAATGTTCTTGAGAATTACAGCTTACCTTAAACTCAATGATTAGACGTCCCTTTTCATATGGACGACGATATATTGGCATGCCTTCATTTAGCACACATTTTATATCCCCATGCTTGACAATCTGACCTAAAGACATTGAAGCCAAATTCTTTCTTAGGTATGGTCTCATTTGTATAAGGCAAAGAAAAAAACAAATGTAAAACAGAAAACCCCTGAGTCCAATAGCCCTGTTGCTTTCATTTACGGCTTTCCCAAGAGGTAACCAATATTCACCCAAGGCCCTATAACTTCATCTCAGCCCTAAGGATATATAACCAAGGAAGGAAATCAAGACACTTTCCTCAACACCTATTATTAATTTTTTTTAGTTATCAGAAGACAAGAAAAATGCAAAGCAGGGGAACAGGTTCATCTAGTTATTATACCTGGATGAGAGGTGATGACTATGGTTCGGTTGTCAAGTGTAGATATTGGCTTTTGGAAGCCACACAATGCTTCAACCAGCTGTATGTCCATACACATGAAAAGGTCTTCTCCTCGCC